GCAAACTTTATTGAAAAACTGAATAAAAACTACAAGACTTCTCACGTACAACTCAGATTATGTAACAATAGCAGCTGCCAACAGTGATTTAGACCGTTCAGTAATTCTCCCCCTTCTCTTTTAATTTAATTTTTATGACGATTATAAAATTAAAATTAAATTGGGAGCTTTGCCTTTTAACAAAGCTCTCAATTTACTGATCAATCTGCATTCCTCTCCTCACCTATGGTCATGAGCTTTGGGTAATGAGTTTCCTCTGCAGGGTGGCTGGGCACTCCCTTAGAGATAGGGTGAGGAGCTCATTTACACAAGAGGAGCTCGGAGTAGAGTTGCTGCTCCTCCACATCGAGAGGAGTAGCTGAGGTGGCTCGGGCATCTGTTCACTTCTGATGCCTCCTCGTAGCTGGAGGAAGTGTCCAAGGTGAAGGAAGTCTGGGAGTCCCTGCTTAGACTGCTGCCCCCGCGACCTGGCCCTGGGTAAGCGGAAGAAAATGAATGGATGATTATTTATGGTTTGTTTGTATTGTGATTTCTTGCACTTTGAATTACTTTGTATACAAATTGTGCTGTACAAATAAACCTGCTTTGCCTTAATCTGGTGGTTCCTGGAATGTTGAACAGCTGGTGTTACAATAGGTGGAAGTTCGCCTTGGCCTCTTTGTCTTAGTTATTTGTGTAAAAGAAAATAGTTATTGACAGAACAGATTTAACTGAATTTCATGTAATCATTTAATTACATTAGTATTCAATACTTACATGTGCCTGGAAACTAGCAGGTGAAATGCCCAGAATGTTCTATTCAGCTGAATCCACTGATGATTATTGACAGCCAGAAAAAAAAAAGGCTCCAATAGGTCAGTTTAAATGAAAGGTCCTGTATTACACAAAATGGATTCTTGTGAGCTTTAAGCCATATTATAATGTCACATCATCAAAAACATGGCAAATGTAGTGTTTTGTTTCATTCACACATGTTTGAGTAATCCTGCATTATTAGGCTGTCAACATCACCAAAGCTCAAAATGCTCTGTTCCACTTTGTGATGTCACGAAGCAGATGTTTTCAAGTTAACAGCTCCTTTTACCTATTCAGTAAAGATTGGAAATTGTAGGGCTGAAATTATCCAAATGATTTTAGTGGGATTATAGAGTTATATAACATTTAACAAAATACAATAATCAACATTTAAGAAATTACAATAATCAACATAAAAACAAAACAAGCGACACCCACAACACCCACAACAAATACAAAACACACACACACACACACATTTACCCCCGACCACACACCAACACAAATTTGGTTAAATACAACAAAAGTAATGTGGCAATCCAACACACACCGCTAGGCCCCCTTACACTGATATATTTTGGCCAATTTATAATTGAAATTCCTTTTCTCTCTCTCTTTCTTCCTTTCTTTTTTTTCCCTCTCCCATTTTTACATTGTTAGTTCCTATACTTCAACTAATTTTATAGAGGTTTTTTTAATAGGGTTTATAGAATTTAAAAACACAGTGGAGCTCAGAGTAAGGACACACATTTTTCTACTTTTTTTAGTGCAATAAACACGACCAAAATGAAAAAACACATGATTTTATTTTTATTTTGATAATGCTATACTGCGGCTTTAAGTGATTTTATTCAAGTGCTTAATGTCAAAAACAATCTAATAAATGAACATTTTGGTTCATGTATAGCATTTACATATTAAATACATTTATATTGTAATTCTTTTTATTAAATAGTAAAAAAAAAAAAAAAAGCTAACCGTTTCCTCAGTGTATAGTCCACATCTGCCCCCTGTGGAGTCTGATGATCCTGAGCTGTGGCTGGACTCCTCCTGACCAGGACTTCTGCTCCAGTGGTGAGTGAAGTGAAGCAGCGTGATACACACAGACTCACACACACAGACTTACACACACAGACTTACACACACAGACTCACACAGACAGTCTCATCAGTGTGATACACACAGATTCATCACTGCCTCCAGGTGAACAGGAAGTCAATCAAAGAACATTATTGAATCTTTTACCTGTTTGAGCTGAGTCTGCACCTTCTCCTCATGTGTGGGTGGGTTTGCTCCATGTGCTCTGGATTCCTAGCCAGACTGGCGCCACCTAGTGCCTCCACTCAATTTCATTTCTCTCCAGTGACTAGGTCAGGAATCAGAATATATTAGACGGTTTGCAAAAACCCCGAAGTGCAAGTTCAGGCACCAGCCGGTCAACAAAGAGCAGCTCCTCTCAATCCAAACCTGCACCCATAGTGTGGACTGATGAGTGAAGAGAGAGTGATGCTCTAGAGTGAATGAAATGAATGATGCTTTCGATAAGGATGATGTTTTTAAGATGCTGAGAGAACTGGGAGTGAATGATGATACAGAATTGTTATGATGCTCTGGACATTATAATTTATACTCTCCTGTTAAGGCTAATGTATATTGTGCACTGTCCCTGACTCATTAAATAAATAAACTAAAGTAATTGGTGTCTGCGCAATCTCCTGTCATGTCCTCCTCCTTTCCATATGTGTCCATGGAGAATATTCCGCAGTATTGTTTTAACTTCTTAACTTCTACACAACTGATTTGCGGTCACATAGTTTAATCCTAACGTATAGCTCCTGTGCGCTCAGACATTGTAGGTCAAATGAACCTAATGTGTGAAAGTATAGGATGTGTGCGTGTATGTGTGCGTCTGTGTGCGTCTGTCTGCTGACCTGGATGTAAAGAGCGTTTATCTTTCCAAAAATAGGCATATTTATTCTGCAAAAAACATCCATCAGAATTTATTTGGACTGTTCAAACATAATAGCGCACTTCAATCATAAGCAATATAGAATTTTATATTTACCCCAAAACATCAGGAAAAGTGCAACTATGAACCAAATGCATGTTCTGACTGCATGCAAAACAGAATGCCTGATTGAAAGAGCATTTATCTTTCCAAAAAAGGTAAACTTATTCTGCAAAAAGCATCTGTCAGAATTTATTTGGACTGTTCAAACATAATAACCCACTTCCATCATTTTATAATAATATAAAATTTAATATTTTGTAAATTTGTTCATTCTGCTGTGAAAATTTCACATTCATGAATCCAAATTCTCAAATTCCAGGCCTATATCAATATTCTAGACATTAAGAATTATTTTCAAACTCTAACCAGTATTTCTAATAATAAATCTGCCAAATTACAGAACATTACAGAAAAATTAGGATTCTTTCTTTAACCACTGTCAGTTTTCTTGTATTGATATCTCTGTATCACTGCACTTGTATGTGTGATTATCAGTTTAAGTTTACACGTATGCCAATTCTGTTAGTGTTTTTATTATTGTCTTTGTTTGTTTTTAAGTTATTTAACTGTATTAAATGTGTATCACGTCAATTAAAAAAAAAAAAAGACAGAGACATTAAACTCATGGACAACATTTCTTTCACCAGAAGACATTGTAGGTCAAATTAACCCAATATGTGAAAGTACAGGATGTGTGCGTGCCTCTGTGTGTGTCTGTGTGTGTCTGTCTGCTGACCTAAAGCCTTACTGCCCTCTGGCCTTGATCGGCCTGTGTCCTATACACAGCCTGATGTTCTGGGTCAGTGTGATTAGGACACTTCCATTATAGACGCCTGTTTCATAACGCGTCAGAGCTTTGTGTTAATATAGGTCTATGACAGCACGACCTTCAGCACTGTCACTGTATGTACCAGGTGTAAAATGTAAGAACTGTCAACCACATCAGAGTATATGTGTGAAAATAATATGTCAACGAATGCACTTTTTACCCATATATGAAATGTAGCTGTATAGCAGGTGTGTCCAAACTTTTTTCATGTATGACTGCATATTGAAACATGGGCGGCGTCTAATTTCTCATTCCTCGCTTCCTTCTCCTTGATTCGTCTCCTTGATTCTGTGATTTTCAGCTGTCAATCAGATGTGTCATATTAATTGGCATCCTAAAAAAAAACACAGAAGGAAGGAATAAACCTGAGGGAGGCTTCAGGAGGACATCAGATAAAAGAATCTAACTTTATTGGTCTCAGTGAGGAGTTTACATCCTCTCTCCTTGTTTTGTCTCCTCTGTGGGTGGGACTTCCTCAACTATTTACTGCAGAATCAAGGAGATTAATCAAGGAGGGAGAAGCGAGGAAAGAGTAATGAGATGCGGCTGTAGACCACATGGAGGGCCATAGACTGGTGGTCAATCCCGGGTTGATTGGGTTGACGCTTCGTTTCAATGGTTATATGTTCCACAATAAATCTTCATATTTTTGTTATATCTTAATCATTTCTGCCTCGACTGAGTGTTTGTGACTATATAAATATATTTTTTAATGATTTGTACACCTCAAAACATCAGGAAAATTGCAAATATGAACCAAATGCATGTTCTGACTGCTTGCAAAACAGAATGCATAACATAGATAGCGTTTATATTTCCAAAAATAGGTATACTTATTCTGCAAAAAGAATTTATTTGGACTGTTCAAACATAATGACCCACTTCTATCATTTTATAAAAATTGAATATACTGTAAACTTGTTCATTCTGCTGGGAAAATTTCACATTCATAAATCCAATTGTTAAATTCCAGACTGCTATTTAAAATCAATATCCTAGACATTAAGAATGATTTTCTAATAAGTATTTGTAATAATAAATCTACCAAATTACTCAATATTACAAAAAATAAGGATTCTCTCTTTAACCACATCCTCAGTTTTCTTGTATTGATTTCTCTGTATGATTCCTGCACTCGTATGTATGATTATCTACCTCAATTTAAGTTTATACCTATGCCAATGTTGTTGTTTTTTTTATTATATTGTATTATCTTGCTTTGTTTGTAAGTTATTTAACTGTATTAAATGTGTATCATGTCAATTAAAAGGAAAAAAAAAGTATTATATTCAAACTTTTAAACTTTTCTCCAGTAGATGGCAGTGTTGCACCACAACAGTACACGCCCAAAACGGAAAAGGATCGTGTTCAGCGTGCGTCGTGGTGCGTGCGCATGCAGCTGCTCAGGACGTCTCGCTTTCGGCTCCAACTCTCTTTCTGTAGTTTCCAGCGGTTTTATCAGAAAGATTCAAGAATGTCAGAGGAACTGCGAGCCGAGCTGGAGAAGTATCTGCAGAGTCTGAACATCCAGACCAACTGTGTGGAGCACCCGCCGGTAAACTCCCATTTCCAAAACAGTAACGTGCCCAAGAGCTTTCCCTGAACACTTACAGTAATGAATGAACCAACGTGTCACTACAGCTGCTCGCCTCTTTTTAAAGCTGCATTGTGTAACTTTTCTGGTGGAGGGTCCGTCAAAGGCTTTTCTTCATGGAAATGTTATTGTTTTGTCTGTAATGGAGACCAAACCAGGCCGTGTTACAGGTCAGAATGCCTGTTTTTACAAATATGTTTGAGTTATAAAACTATCTGTAATTAAATAAATGAAAGGTAGAGTTGTTTAATGTCATACTGTGGAACATTTCAGGCAGAGCAATGACATATCCATACAAACAAGCAGGTGCCGGATCCCCAACCAAAAAGTTACACAGGCCACCTTTAAATAGAATACAAATACAAGGTGTCCCAAACATTTTGACATCATTTCACAGGCCAATAATTTTGACAACTCTTGTTGAAATAACTGCAAATTTTCACAAAATGTGTAGAAACGGATCAAGATTTTATATTTAATGTTTAATGTTCTGTTTTCAGGTTGAGCTGATCACTCCCAAAGAGAAGTCATTTTGCATCTTGGAATCTGCTCGAACACAAGACTGTGCAGCCTTCAATGCAAAATTTGGAAAAACTTCAACTGGCAAACAAATCTGGACCTGGTACCAAAAATTTTAAGCGGAAGGCTGTTTATGCAGGGCTAACGGATCTAGTACGCCAAACCGTCTTTTGAAGAATCTGGGTTTCCAAACTTCTTGGGGCTTCGCAAGAGTTTTTCACAAACTTGCTTGACCTTCTCTTCTGGTGTTGACGTTGGTCTACCAGAACCTTTAGCCCTGCCTAAGCAGTTTTCCTCTTTACATTTTTGGTACCAAGTTTAAATTTGATTGCCAGTTGGTGTTTTTCCAAATTTTGCACTGGCACACTGCAGAGTGACTTGGGTGACTGTGTGGGAGCATATTTCAAGATGCAAAATGACTTGAATACAGAACAAAATAAAACTTTAAATCTAAAATCTTGATCTGTTTCTATACATTCTGTGAAAGTTGAGGTTATTTGAAAAAAAATTAACTGAATTATTGGCCTGCAAAATGATGTCAGTTTTTGGGACACCCTGCATTTTATTTTATTTTATTTTATTTAAAATAGTTATAACATTCATGCAACATTACACAATAATAATAATTTAAAAAAAAACTTGCTCTGACATCATGCGGGAGTTTTCTACATGGTCTTCTATGGTGGAATGTTCAATAGTTGCCATGGTTACACAATGCATGTACACATTAGCAAACTCTGTCAATTTTTAAGATCATCTGAAAACTCAAGGAAAAATATAGTGGAATAAATTGATTTAAACAGCACATTTTCAGGAGCCTGTGATCAATACGAACAGTCACGGCCCTGTTTAGGTGTTTGATTTTCAACAAAAAGGTGAGAGTTGCTAATTGAAAAGTGAATGAATAAAAAAAATTGACACAGGCTAAAATCCTCACCTACTCTTCCAAACTGATCATGTTAACTATTTACTCGAGAATAGTACCTGCTTTGTTGCATTACCTAACCTTTTAATGAGTGGTCAAAGGAAAATGGTGCAGTAAGCCACAGAACATGACCAGATGTTCTGCTTCTGCTTATGTTTTGTATCTGTGTCTGTACAACCTCTTGTCATGTCCTCCTCCTCCTTGGCCCTTGCAGGTGTTCACTGTGGAGGAGATGATGCCTCACCTTCAGGGAGTGACTGGGGCCGTGTCCAAGAACCTCTTCCTGAAGGACAAGAAGAAGAAAAGTCTGTGGCTGGTGTCTGCGAGGCACGATCGCCAGGTACTTATGCTCTTTGTTTATACAGGAGCCAAAGAAATGACTTGGAGTTCTTAATAATATTATTCAGTTATTCAGTTCGCTGAGCAAATAGGTCATGATAAAAAGAAAACAACACAGTAAGGCCTGTTCTATTTAAAGATGCACTTTTTTTCATTACAGGTGTTTCTATTGTTCATGAACACAATAATTCCTTTTGTGAATAGGGGCGACTCTCCACAGATCTGACCTGTAATGCAGTGTCGTGCTGTAACCTGCTTGTCTCCCTTGTAAAATAGGTTTAATCTATGCTGTTGAACATTCTAAACAAAGCAATAACATTTCCGTGGAGACAATCAGATGGCGGGGACTCCATCAGAAGAGTTGCGCAGTGCACCTTTAAAAGTTGAGGCATATATGAGAAAATTGGAAATCCTGGTCCCCAAGAATTTTTAAAAGTGTTTAAGGAGGACATGCATTAATTCTAATCCATATCTGATCTGGGAAGCAAAGAACGTTTCACCCAGTAAACCGTATTTAAATGAACATATCTAATATGAAGTGAGCATGGAGCTGGCTCGCATCTAACGTCTCCATGGAAACAAGCAGGTCACAGACTCACAGACTGTCCACCAGAAAAATTACAAAGTGCACCTTTTTTTAAAAAGCAAAACAAAAACAACAAAAAAAAACATGAATATTGTTGAGGAAAACAACCTTTTCGTCTTGTATTTGTTAGTTTCTGCTTAGATAAAAAATACACTTGAAACAGAAATAAAGTCCAGATCATTTCCTTATTCCACTATTAGAAAGTCATACTTGTACAAGGAGTCTGTGCCGACATTCCCGTGCAGAGACTCAATGTTTACACCTGTACAATGATTTTTATATGAAAACTATAGTGGGAGGCGACCATGGTTTAGATTTGGCGCCTTTTTGTTGGTGCACGGGCCAGTCAGGCCTCTTGGCACGTTGGACAGTCCAATCAGACTCCATCCAGGGTGTTATCTGGCTAAAAAGTCATCATCCCTATCAGTATTTCTTGTCCTGTTTAGTTAGTTTGCTATTAGATAGCTTGGAATATCCTGCATTTGTCTTGACATATATCTATGAGTCTCACAGCTGTGATCAGAGCCCTTATCTTCAAATGACCTCAGTACAATAATGAATTACGGAAGTGATTATACAAAATAGCTAAGCCTAGTTATTTATCCCGACAATATATTAGAAGAAATACCAAATGTTGACTTGAAATTGAAGTAAAATGATGTGCTTAAAACTAAACCTTTAAAATCATTTGTTACATAATGTTATCACTGTATGTGTTTGCACTTCTTATAAACTTCAATGATTAAACACCTCAGAAGTGAATTGAGTTCATGCTGTAGACTGAAAACACTGCATACAGCTCATCAGTCACAGACAAGAGAGTTCATCTGCAATCACAAAGCCCCAGGGGGGAGGGAGGACCCACTGTGCAAACGAGTTAGATTAGAAAGGAAAGGAATATTTAACTTTGACCTTGACATTGTAAAGTTATTTTACATCAGGTCATTAAAGGTCCTATATGACGCAAATGGACACTTGTGAGTTTTAAGCCATATTGTTACCTCCTCAAACACATACCTGTAGTTGTGTTTTGTTTCATTCACATGTCTGAGTAATCCTTTATTATTTGTCTGTCTGCATTTTCAAAACTTAAAATGCTCTCTTCCACCTTGTGTTGTCATGTAGTGGTAGTTTTCAAGTTAACATCTGTAGTCTTGTAGAGATTGGCAATTGGCAAAGAACAAAATCTGCAGGGTTTGTGTGTTAAACATGTGTGAATGAAACAAAACACAACCCCAGGTCTGTTTTTGATGAAGAAACGACATTATAACATAGAACAGAACTAGCGTAATATGGGCCCTTTTTAAGTAGTGAAAAGTCAAGGTCTACTGCTTTCAATTTGAGTTTGTTAAAGTCCAGTGGTGGCGTTCTCTTTTCCTCAGGTGAACCTCAATGACCTTGCGAAGAAGCTGGGAGTAGGCAGTGGGAATTTGCGCTTTGCAGACGAAGCAGTCATGGTGGAAAAACTCAAGGTGAGAGCAAGATCAGAACACAGAAAAAACAAATGAAACACTGAAAATACTGCCAGTGTTGTATGATTTTTTTTTATGTCATGTTCTTTGTGTCATTGCTGGTTCTTTCTGGTAAAGAAGAGGTTGATTTGTGCTGCTTCATATATTTCTAGTATTATTTTGCTGAAAAACTAGAAAAAAGTATGAGGTGGTTCAGTTGCCCTTAGGGTTGTTGAAAGTATTGAAAATCAGACACACTGATACTAAAACTAGTATAGAAACTAATTATTCATTTGAGCACTTATTGTTACAAAAAAAAGTCACATTCACAGGACAGAACTAAGCTTTCCTGAATAGCTTTAGAATGCTCTTGAGTTGTATCAGAACAAGTATAAGAGCACATAGACTAGTTTACACCCACAGACCACTATGGAACCTGGATGGCTGGATTACACAGATAGAAGGCCACATGGGAATAAACAAGAAAATACTACAATTTAATGTTAAAAATCACATTCAACAGCACAGATTTCCATACATTTAGCACTTTTTACACATTTAATGATGAATTTACATAAGGACAAGACAATTAAATCTGATCAACTTTAGTGTTTGTGTGTTTTATTATGACGTGGTTTGGTGTGTCTGTAAAAATGTTTCCCCTCTGATTTCTTCTGTGCCAGGTGGGTCAGGGCTGTGCCACAGCTCTTTCTCTCCTGTTTGACAAAGACCAGAGTGTGAAGTTTGTCCTGGACAGTGACCTGGTCGAGGGGGGGCACGACATGGTCTACTTCCACCCTATGACCAATGCTGCCAGCATGGGCCTGAAGCCAGACGACCTGCTCCTCTTCCTCAAGGAGACTGGACACGAGCCCATCCTGCACAAATTCGAGTAGGAACAGACTCTCACGGGAAACTAAACAACCACACGGTGTAAAAAGGACACTCTCATCTGACCACAGCTGGAGATGAAGGACAATCTGCAGCTCTGAAATACACACAAACTTCAGTGAAAACTGTTTGGCTATTTGGCCACTTAAGCATTTATTTACAAGCTAAAAATATTTTTTTTTATCTTATTTATGTTTTTACTACACTAAATAAATACATCAAGATCAATAAGTCATCCCTTATTTTAACATATTTTGAAATGTAAGGCTTTGCACATAAACATTCTGATATCATTTGTGTGGGTTTTTAATTTTTTAATTAAAGCTGTTTTATGATTCCAATTGGAAAAGGCAATGACACGTTATTCTGAACAAAAACTTTATCTTGTTCTTTCTCATTATAAATTGCAAAGCTAAAACCGGTTCTCCTTTCAGAGGACTGTTGCACTAAGCCCAAAGAGCCACTAGATGGCGGAGTAGAACGACAATAATGACCACTGTAAGCGGCTGTACGCTGTCTGCCGGGAACACGGGGCATAGTGAAATGCTTTTTAGTTATAATTTGACTCTCTAGCCCAATAGTCTTCATTATAAGGCTTTACTAAGGACTCTTAAAAAGGCCGAATAAACTGCTATTTCCAAAATAAAACATTAATATTATCATCGCATAAGTGGTCTTTTTGTCACTTCCTTGCATGGTTTTATTTTGTAGGCGTGCACCGGAAGCCTCGTGCCTGACACACGGCAGCCTGACCTGACCTCGCTCCAGTGATGCCGATATTTGAATAGGTCCATGGGTGACGCTCATGGATGTGTCCAGCGCTGAAGGTAAGCAGCTGTCTGACTCGTGACGCACTGTCCCCTTCTGTGCGTGTGTGCACGTGTGGATGTGTGCGTGTGCGTGCATGTATGTGTGAGGGACCATGGCGCATCTCCTCAGGCTCTGCTGCTCCTGAGCCGAGTTCTGCATGCGCTCTCAGATAGTGCGCACTTAGGTCTGGGAAAAATGTGCGTTTCTGAATCCACACGCGTCATTAATGGTCACTAGCGGCTGTTTGGGAGAAGTAGGCCTCAGGTCAATAGTAGCTGTCATTTCTGTCGCCAGTTTAGTATGCTGTAGTGTGACATTAAGATGTACTCTGAAAACATGAAGGGGTCTTAATCTGACAGGACTATTTCTGAAGGAAAAACTTTTGTCTTGCGTCTATTGCCCATTTTTCATGGATTTCAGCTTCCTGTTATGGGCGACATTTTGAGGACTTATAACCAATTTAAATAATAGGATAGTTTTGTTTTGTTTCATCATTATGAAAGTCATGTAAATTGCTTACTTAAAAATATTATAATAGAAGTAGCAGTACTCTTACTTGAGTAAATGTTTTGGTTTCTCTTTCCACTGTGAGTAAGTCTATAAGTGCCAAAAGCTTTATGTAACAATATGAATTAAAGGGCTCATATTATGGTATTTTCTGAGTTCTGTAATATGTAAGCTTAACATACAAACCTGGATATTTAGTTCTTCTCTCAAACAAACAAAAAAACTCTTTCAAAAATTCACTTCCACCTTGTGATGTCATGTGGTAATACAGGAAGTTCTCTGCTGTATTTATTTATTTATTTTACCTTTATTTTACCAGGCAAAACATTAAGAACAAATTCTTATTTACAATGTTGGCCTGGGCATGCCAGAGCAGCTAAGGGAAGGGGAGTTAAAACAATTAGACACTCAACATCATTCATTAAAACATAAAACAAACATTTACATCAGTCTCTAAAAATCTCCTTTCGTTTCATTAGTAAAACATTTACACATGTCTTTAAAAATTACCTTCATTTTTAAACGCCATGCACCTGCACTAGAATCATTTGGGTGATTTCAGCCCTGGAATTGCCAATTTCTACTGAACTAAAGGTAAAAGGAAGTTGTTAACCATGATATCACAAGGTGGAACAGAGCACTTTCAGCTTTGGAGATGTAGACAGACTAATAATAAAGTGTTACTGAAACATGTGCGAATGAAACAACTCCAGGTCTGTTTTGGATGAAGATAAGAACATTATAACATGGCTTAAACTCACAAGAGTTTATCCACTGATCTGAAGGTTGGGAGTGTGTGAATGGGTGGGTGTTTCCTTGTTTTAAAGTGCTTTGAGTGCCTTGAAGGTGGAAAAGTGCTACATAAAAATGTGCCCATGACCAAAATTTAGGACCTTTAAATGATAAAAATCAAACTTATTTTCAAGTAACAGTACTCTTTAGTAAAATTTTTGGCTGTTGTACCCACCTCTGGCTTCAACTTTGGACAAACAAACGTGGCGCTGAAATGAAGTTTGTGTACGTCTTCATTCTTGCTCCTGATTGGCCGCTCCCGTGTCCCCCCCTCCCCCACGTGTGTCCTCTGCATGCCTAATGAGCCCGTGCGTATTGTGGCATTGTTGCGTAAAATTAGCAACTGAATAAATGCTACATAGTGACATGGCGGTTCCCAGGGCTGTGTTCACACGCTCCTAGGGCTTTGTACGGCTGCGTGCACAGATCTACGTGCTTCTCCATCGCGGTGGGGACATTTGAGACGGGTGCGCGTGTGTGTGGAGGGGTCGGGGTCAAAGGTCAGCAGACTCTGTGATGGTCAAGGCTGTGAGGGAGGGAGTGGGAGGCGTATGCTGTTCACACGTGTGATATGAAAATAGGATATGTGTTAATATCAGTGACATTTTTTGACATTCGTAACAACAGGGGGTGGAGTGAGTTGTTTGAAAAGTCCTGATTGATTCTTGTGAGCTTTAAGCCATGTTAGAATGCAGTTACTTCCTCAAAAACAAACCTGAACTGCAAATTTCTCTGGTCTGGCCAAGATTTTAAAACTTAAATCAGGTTATTCATCTTGTTTTCAGATTTATTATCTACTTACTAGTTCTGAGATGCTTAATTCTAGTCTAGAGGTAGTTTATTTTAAGATAACTTGTCAAGTAAAATGATCTTGCTGAATGGACAGATAATTTCACTGCTTTTAAGTCATTTTCACTCCACCTTATGATGTCTAGTTAACAGCTATCTTTTTGCATTTTGTTTAGTAAAATTGGTGATTTCAATGCTGAAATGATCCAAATTAATCTATTGAAGGTGTATGGAGTTTAAAAACACAATGGAGCACTTCCTGTATGACACATCCACATGACATCACAAGGTGGAACAGCTTGTTTTCTGTTTGAGAGAAGAATTCAGCCTAAATATGCAGGGGTTGTGTGTTAAATGTGTTAAGGAAAAAAAAAACACAACTCCAGGTCTGTTTGTGATGAGGAAACAACATTAGAACATAGATCAGAAATTAAAGTATCGTATTTTTCAGACTATAAGTCACACCAGCCCAAACATGCATAATGAAGAAGAACAAAACATATATAACTCGCACCAGACTATAATTTGCACTTTTGGGGGGAAATTTATTTTATAAAATCAGACTATATTACTATAATTTGCTTCAAAGGCAAATTATAGTAATAACAATAGAAGAGTGAACAACAGACTGTTAACGTCACATATGAACAGTTCTTCAGATACTATAACAAAAACAACAAAACAGAACAAGTTTACCAAACTCTCCATCTCACTCTAAATCACTAAATCCATTGAATTCTTCATCCTCAGTTTCACTTCTGCGCGACCTCCTTAGATAAACCATAGATCTATGATGTAAGTGGAGCGCGGCTTCCTCTTCTGTGTAGCTGTCGTCAGACTCATCAGCAGTTCCAGTTAGAATTATTCCGGCCTTTCTGAATCCCAACAGGATGGTTTCGGTTTTCACTCAAGTCCAGACTTTATCGATCCATCCAATGACTTCCAGGAAAGTTGTATGGCGCACCTTTCTGGTTGTCACAAGTTTCTCGCTCACTCCAAACTTTCTTTCTGCTGCTCAAGTACCGTTTTCAGCTGCTACTTGCAGCAGGACAGATGCTCTTTCTGCAGGAGACATGCGCAGTAGAGCCAAATGACAGTGGTACAGGAGTAATAGGAGCAGCAGATACTGACACACAAGACTAGAGCGCCCTCTGTCTGTCATTTACAATGTCATGTAAATGAAGAAAACTGGGACATTTACTCATTTTTCCTAGATTTTGTCAGACTTGCTACCAGAAACAGAGCCCACTGGAAGTTGTCATTTCTTTATAAACTTCTTCCTGCTTTTTGACCTAAGCGTGAATAGAGTCTGTCCATGGAGCTCAACACTGATGTTCCACTATGGTCTTTTTCCATTAATTTTTCCCACTTTTTTTCAGTTCAAAGACATCGCGGAGGCTAAGCAACTGCGTGCAACTAATATCCATAACTTGGTTGTTTTAAGAGAGCACATTTAAACCGCAAGATTTGGTGAAATGATTTAATCATTTGTCCCTTTATAAACTCTCAGAAACAGAAATACTATTACAGTCTTGTGATCGTCGTTACCACAGAGCTGATTAGCCTCAAACTTTCAAACTTTTAGTATTTTTCTATTTTCTATGGGGAAAATGAATGAGAAATGTACTTCTGGACTGAGGTGTGGGCGGTCACTGCTGAGCTCCACTGCCAGGTTTGTTGATACTGTTTGTAAATGTTTTGAGTGAATAGGTTTCAAGCCAGTCTTTGCTTCCTGATTTGTGTCGTTTCATTCACACATGTTTGAGCAATCCTGGTTTATAAGGCTATCTACATCTCCAAAGATCAAGATGCTTAATTCTGTCATTTCCTGGTGATCATAACAGCTATTTTAGCCACAGCTGAACTGATTAAATTGTCAGTACTGGAATAACCTTAAAGGTGCACTATGTTTTTGGTTGGTTTGGTTGTCACTGTTTGTTTCTATGGATATGTCATAGTTCTGTTTAGAATGTTCCACAGTATGACATTAAACAGCTCTAAATTACTTTCATTCAAATACAGGTGGTTTTGTAGCTTGGATATATTTAGAAAAACAGGAATTCTGACTGTGAGCGGGCTTGCCTCTCCACAGATCTGACCTGCAACTTGGTCTGGTTTGGTCTTCATGAAGACAGAAATGCCATACTATGAAACATTACAGACAAAGCAATAATATCTTCACAGAGAAAAGCATTTGATGGACCCTCCACCAGAAAAGCTACACAATGTACCTTTAAGTTTTTCTGTACCTTTTATTTTTGACTATTTAATTTGCCCTTTTGTACAGTTGAGATTGTCACGAGAAAGCCTCTGATATCTGCTGGTACACTGAGGATAAAAGTTTCAATGAGGCTATAACAATGGCTGTAACTTAAAAGTTTGACAAATCCAGGACTGAAATGATCCAAATTCTACTGAAGGTATATGGATGGAGTTTAAACACACAGTAGAACACTTCCTGTATTACCACTTGACTTCATAAAGTAGATTAGATCAAGACAATTCTAAAACTTCTCAGGAAAGGTCTAATTCTGTCCAGTGTGGGGATTTTTTCCAGTATCAATCAGTACCTGTTCACATGAGTATCCAGTCCACGTTGATGCTATAGCACAAGCAGAGTGTGGCCTGGCTGGAGTCTTGCAGAGAGCCTGATGTCAGATGTGGTCCTGGGT